CGGGTCTCCGTTTTCCTTTTCCATTTTCTTCTCCCTTTCTTTCTTTCTCTCTCCCTCTCTCTCTCTCCTTATAATTTTTTCCTTTCTCATTTCATTTCTCATATCAAATACAAGAATGAAATGACGAGGAAAAAAAGAAAACGAAAAATTTCACTAAATTATAGCTTAATGTGTATTTTGCAGGCAAGCTTACATGTTTGAAAACTGTTTGTTTGTTAAATTTTCATTATCGGAAATGGTTAATTCATTCGAAAAACGAAAATTATTTTTTTAATTTTTTCTAAAATTTCATGCAAAATGGATATTATTCAAATAAAAAATATTAATTTCACTGTAAAAAGAGGAAAAAAAAAGGAAAAAGTCTCGTTTTTAATTTTTTTTCGTTTTTTAATTTTGCACATTTAAACAAGAAAAAAAAATGGCATTTTTTTTTTCGATTTCGTTTTATTCCACTTCAAACAAAAATATTTACATGAACATCATTTTTTCTTCTTACATACTTTCAGTAAAATTATACATTTAAGCAAAAATAAAAATAAAATAAATATGAGAATTCCTTTTCTTTTTTTTTTTGAAGAAAAACTATGAAATAACAAATTTTAAATCATTTAATATAATACATTACTAAAAAAAAAAGAAAAAATTTTAAGGAAAATAACTATTAATCAAATTAATTGGAAATACATACTTCAACTATTACTTATTAATTAGTTGATTCCTTCTTACGAAAAATGATTAGCTAATTAATGGGTGGTATTACTGGTATTACTAGCAACATTACTGTTCATTAATTAGCTAATCTCTTTGCACATCATCTATCCATAATTGGTTATTTTCGGCTAAAATATTTTATTCATTATATTGCAAAAAAAAAAAATTTACAAGTTTTAAAAAATTTGAAAATATTTAAAAAAAAAATTTCAGCATCAGTGTGGTACATCAACGACGCGTAAGATGTCGCTGGTGGGTAAACCATTGGTTTATAAAAATTATAGTACCGATCAAAGGTTTCGACGGGTTCAATGTAAGGTGCATAATTTTTTGGAACGACCACGTGGCTGGAAAGCAGCTGGTTATCATTTCGCCGTGTAAGTTATATTTGTATTTTAAAAAATTACTTAATAACTTAAATTTAGGAAAATAATTGCTTATTCATTAATTAATTTAATTATGAATAATTTTGATTACTTGATTTCAATT